AAAAGGAAAGTTTTAAGCATTGAAGAGGAAGTTAAAGTGATTTGTGAAATAGAAAATGGTTTGGTGAATTCTACAGTACAAACGATATGGAGAATCCATATTAATTCCACGTTAATGTTACGTTAGTCTGTACTTAACTATGTATTTCACTAAAAAATGCAACACTTTAACTCGGTTTTTGGTAGATTTTTACGTGACTAACATAAGGCTACTGTGGAAGTGCCCATTTCGGTTACAGCGACATTCGTTTATAACGACACTATTTTTAGGTCCCTTTGATGACGTTATAACCAAGTTCTACTGTATAATAAAGATTATATTTTGCATTTCATGACAAAATAATCACAGTTAATTTTCGTTTGTAAAAATTGCTCTTTTGTGTATATGTAGAAAATTTTATTGTCTTTCAGGTCGTTTTTAGTCCGTATTTCTATGTTGCATAGAACGGAAAATATGTATTTTTTCTGAAAGTTTGCAATGTTGATTAATTAGGGTGATTTAAATACCAGCCACAGAGGGCTCCCGACAATATAAAAGTCCGTCCATTAAAGGTTAAAGAACAAATTAGAACTGCTCAGAGGACTAATTTCAAAACCATTTACATACATATAAATAAAACTGTAGTAATTATCTAGGAATACCACTGTTATCAATTACAATAAGCCCTCAACATAGAGGTTAGGTTCCTTGAAGATGTCACATCAGGTAAATCCATACTGGACCAACATAATACCTTGTGGGCTAAATGGGAATATGAACATGACCACATAGTGTCCCACTAATATCTAGAAAACACATCTGTTACAGACATAAAAATTAATGCCCTTACCTATAAGTGGGCAGGGCATGTAGCACAAATGGGGGAGAAGAGGAATGCATATTGGATATTGATGGGAAAGCCAGAAGGAAGGAGACCACTGGGAAGATCAAGGTGTAGATGGGTGGACAATATTAAAATGGATCTTAGAGAGATAGGATGGGATGGTATGGATTGGATTGGTGTGGTTCAGGATAGGGACCTGGGAAGGGCTCTTGTGAACACGGTGATGAACCTTCGGGTTCCATAGAATGCTAGGAAATTCTTGAGTAGATGCAGATCTGCCTTCTCCTCAAGAAGGGCTCATCTCCATTAGTAAGTATACTTGGTCGACTTACGACCAAAAAAAAAATATATATATAAATTAATAATCAATCAGGATGTGCTACTGAGTCACATCGATGCCAGGAGGCCTAAGGACACCACCACACAGCTGCGCGTACAATAACTATGGGAGCATCCGGCAACATAGGCCTCGCACACACACACACAGGCATCCTCTCTCTCTCACATACACTCAATCACTTTCAAGCATCTGTTACCGGTGGTGTATTAATTAAAATTCTATTGAAATACTACCCATAAAATATCTAGTAAAAGGAAAATGCCTTCAGTCACAGATACGCCAGCTAAGAAGTCAAGGAAAACTATTGATTTAGAGTGTAAAATGAGAGTTATCCAGCAGTATGGAGGTGGAAAGAAAGTGAATATGATAGCACGTGACTTGAAGTTATCACATTCCACGGTATCGACGATACTTAAAGACAAAGAAAGAATTTGGGAAGCTGTGTTAGGTTCTGCACCTATGAAGCCTACAATTTTAACCAAATGACAACAGGGACCCATCCACGAAATGGAGAAATTGTTTATGTGGATGGAAGATTTAATACAAAAAATACACCCATGAGCCTTCACACAGTGCAAGCGTAAGCTAGAAGTCTGTTTCAGAGTTTAAAATCACGCGCCAGAGATGATTATGCAGAAGATTTTCAGGCTAGTACTGGGCGGTTTAAGCGTTTTAAAAAAAGATTTGCTTTGCATAATTTACGTGTCACAGGAGAATCAGGAAGTGCAGATGAAGATGGAGCCCAAAAATTCGTTGATAGTTTCTATACTTTAAACAAAGAAGGTTATCTACCAGAACAAATATTCAACGTAGATGAAACCGGCTTGCAATGGAAATGCATGCCTAATCATAAGTACATACACTAGGCAAAAAAGATGCCAGGATTCAAAGCTTTTAAGGATCAGCTGATTTTGTTGCTCAGTGGGAATGCTGCAGATTTTAAGCTCAATCCTTTTCTCATTTGTCATTCAGAAACCCCTTATGCATTTAAGCACATCAAGAAGTACACACTTCCCATTTACTACCATTCAAACCCTAAAGCTTGGATGACTCAGGAACTGTTCGAAGACTGGTTCATGAACTGCTTCATTCCCCAGGCTCGTGAATATTGTGCGGAGAGAGGTATCCCTTTCAGGATTTTATTGGTTATAGACAATGCCCCTGGTCACCCCCCTCATCTGGACGACCTTCATCAAGATGTTAGAGTGGTTTTTATGCCACCTAACACAACCGCTCTCATTCAACCCACGGATCAGGGTGCTATTTCAGCATTCAAGGCTCACTACCTCAGGACAACATTCGCACAAGCCATCGAAGTGATAGATGCTGACTTATCTTTGTGAGACTTCTGGAATCAGTACAACTTTTTACAATGTATCAAGAATATTTCGACCGCATGGGAATGTGTAACAAAGAATTGTATGTCTGAAATTTGGAAAAAGTGTCTAAAATGTTACGCGAATACATTTGAAGGATTTGAAAAAGGAGAGGAACTAGAAGTGATTATAGAAAAATAGTTAAACTTGCAAAAATCTTAAATTAGAATGTGAACTGGAAGACATAGAGGAGCTGCTAGATTGTGAGACAAATAACTTTCGGATGAAGAGTTGATTGAATTGGAAGCACAGAGTGGCAGAAGAAAAAGCAAGCGAGGAAGAAGATAAAGAAAAAGAGCCAGAAAAGAAATTCACTGCAAAACATTTTATCAGATTCTTTTTCGCAACTGAATAAAGCTCTCGCCAGACCCTGACAGTCATTTGTATTAATTTTTACATTAATTTTATATTGTATTTTTGTGTTTGCAGTACAGTATGTACACACAGCCTAGGCATAGAAATGAAGATATGTACAATATCTCTATGTAAAAGATAAAAACATTACTGTATTTAAAATGAAAAATAAAAAATGATTAAAATATAAGTTTTTAAAAATAAATTATAATGATAAAAAGATTAGAAAGGTTAAAAAATACTGTTAATAAATATATGGCCGACATACAACCAGATCAACTTACGACCTGTGAGTCAGAATGGAAGTCAGTCGTACATTGACAACCAAGTGTACCTATAGGACCTACTGTATAATAAATGAATACATATTAAAGAAATGGAAACATTAAACCATATGTATTGACACAAAAAATATAAAAGTACAGTATATGAAAATTTATATTCATTTATAAATTTTGTACCTACAGGTGATGGTATTGGTGAAGAAGACTTCAGTTGCTGCTGCTTATGATGCACTGGAAGCATTAGGCTTCCTTACTAAAGACTGATGGACTGAATTCCATATTTTGTTCCCGAGGCTTCGCAATTATGTAACTGTTCCCCAGTTTTATATATATTGTGTATAGAACTGTTGCTGGGCAGAGACCTCGAAACGGATGAGTAGAGCCATTACTATGCAATAGGCTGATAAACACCTGTTTCTAAGCAATGGTCAGTAAGCACGTTCCTGCAGAAACTGGAAACAATACCCAGTCTATCACTAGGCAACCACCCATGACAACAATTTAAGGATTGTGGAGGTGGTTTTTTCTGCTGGGCCCACCCCAAAGTTACATAATGAGGACACCAACTGAGCTGCAGTCTGTTGTCAGCAGTTTAGTTGAGTGAAGTGACGTGAAGTAGCTGGTTGGTGAGTGAGAAAGTTCAGGTGTCAGTTCAGCTGAAAGTCAGCCTGTGAAGAGAAGACTATGAGGTTGGTGTGAAATGGCCTCCAGCCTCGAACCCAGTTAGCCAAATTGTCAGACAACAAAGAGTTCTGTATACGTGGCCGTGACAAGAGAAACTGACCATGGGAAGCTGAAGAATCTCCATTGTGTTAGACCCCATTGCTAAGAAACCACTTGTGGAGACTGAAATAAACTAAGGACGCTAGTCTGTGCGTGTTTGATAGCTGTAAAGTGTAGATTCCAGTCGTGTATACAAGTGGTCAATAAATGCATCCTTCAATCCATGCTCCCTCTATATTCATGCACCCCAAAATGTGACTATGTATGTAAAAGCAAATGTGTGTTCAAGAAACACACACTGGAGAAAGGTTTTGGAGAGCCACACATTGGAGAAAGGTTTACTGCACAGTTTTATCCAACATTCCATCTGACATGATAGATGAATTAATAATCAAAAACTCTACACTCTTCATGCACCAATGATTCAGCAATGTAAGAGTTAAAATTCAGTATATCAATTCTGTACCTGACAGAGCCATCTTGTAGCCCTGTCCATGCCACAATGCCTTCAGCTGTAAGAGACTGAATGACAACTGTAAATATATCTGCTGGCTGTTGAGAACTGCTATGTATTGCTAAAGTAATTCTGGGAAGTCTCTGAAACCATATAAGAAATGTATATTTTTTAAACTAAAACTGCTATAGGGGCTCACTACATACAAAGAAAACAAAAAGCTAACTAGTGATTACTGAGGGAAATCATCCAGACAATTCTGACATAATAGATATTATATTTGAGCATTCTGTTGCACTGATGTACTACTCACTGATTCATTGACCTCCATTTTTAATTCAAGTTAAAACTGTTCACAATCTCTTTAATTTAAAATAACAATAGCTAAATCACATTCAACTAGTGAGAACACACATACAAAAAGGGAACAAACATGGATGCTGCAAAATGAAAATATTGTGAAACAGTGACAGTTTTGTTCTCAAACAAATGTATTTTAATATGAATGATGATAATGCAATAGCATGGAAATATACTGACTTAAGTTCTAGTGCAGTGCAATGGTTTAAAAAAGTGAACAATTGCCTGAAGATCGACAAGCATGGATGAAACATGTAGCAAGTCCTGTGATTTTAATGTTATTTTAAATTAAGGAGATATTATGAACATTTTTTTATTGCTAGTGGGGTGGGACTAAGTCCCTTGTACTGCTGCCACTTCTGGCCTATTGTACCAGCCCCAGATGATAGGTGAGAATGATTGTGGAGCAATTGGTGGAATGAAGATTGGCAGGGGAAACCGAAGTACTCAGAGAAAACCTGCCCCAGAGCCATTTTGTCCACCACAAATCCAACATGACCAGACCCTAAATCGAACCCGGGCCACCGTGGTGGTAAGCCAGCGACTAACCGCTTGAGCTATGGTGCGGCCTATTATGAACATTACTAAGTTGCATTAAAGATGGAGGTGAATGGTGTTAATAGATAAACTGCTGATCATACATTCTGCATTGGCAGTTACTGTGGAAATAGTGGAACTGCAATGGGGCATTACATCAGCGATTTACAGATTGCAAGAAAGCTTTACTGTCCATTCTCAGCAAACCTTCTATATTCATGAAATCAATTTGGCTAATTATGACATATTTCAGTGAAACCTACAATGCATTTGGTATACATAAACATTTGTTTCATTCCCTATTCAAAATGGTGTGAAAGAAAGAGATCCCTTATCATGACTGATTTTCTACTTAATTTTAGAATATGCCATTAGAAAGGTCACACAAAAATCAGGATTCTACTTGCATAAGACACAATATCTTCTGATGTGTACTGCTGTGAGTTGTGAATTAATCAGACAAAAACATAAATACTGTAACACAAGGAAAACAAAAGCCAGGACAGTGCAGTCATTATAGTGACTGGCTATGGGATGGACAGCTGAGGGGTCGGAGTTCAAGTCCCAGCAGAGACAAGATTCTTCTCATCTCCACATCAGCCAGAACTATTCTGGGGCCCACCCAGCCTCCTATCAAACATCCACCAAGGAATCGTTCACTGGGGGGTAAAGCAGAAGGGGCGTGAAGCTGACCACTCACCTCAAACCAGTGCCAAGGTCAAGAATACATGGATCTATACATCCACTTCCCCCTACATCTTCATGGTGTAGTGCTTCACTAGTTAAGCAAAGGGAAGCCTTCACTTCCACCTTCAAACAAAGAAAACAAAAAAGCTGTATCTGATAGTAATAATAAGCATTTAAAAGCATAGAAAAAACACCATAAAAATGCAGGGCAAAATTCTAACATAAAGACAGGTATTAAGCAGCTAACTAAATGAAGAAGAGTCCTTACTGAGACACTAATACTTGTTACCCAAAATATTACCAGCCTTCCGTGAAATGGAAGGTTAATAAGAGTTTAGCCTCCAAGCATATTTCTTTATGGTGGATTGTACTACCATCCTAAATATCCGTAGAGGGTTTCAGACAAAAATTCTGCATGCATATGTTTCCCATTTGCTAGGGAAAGCATAACTGAACAACCGCTGACGACTTTCTCAATTTACGGTAATTACAACACATGCATGCAAAAGGAAAATACTGTTGTAAGATTTGAGGTTTTCACGGCGCTGTTGTTTTATAATCGGCATTAACACATATGGATCATTTTTATCGATGCCTGGAAAAGAAGAGTACTGGGATGTATCCGAATGCAGCAGGCAACCTTGCATTTTTTTAATCAACTTCTTAAAATGTAAACACTACAATGCATGAAGTCTAGTAAGTAAATATATTTTAAAAATACATTCCACGTGGGCTGCTAGTGCGATATTAACATATCCCACGTGGACAGCCGGTGTAGCAGTAAATCTATGGCAATCGGTCAATTTACAGCCACTATGACAGATCGTGGAAAATACCGTATATACCTCAAATGACGTATTACGCACTGATACTATCTTAGTAAATCATATTTGCTACTTGCGATACTCCATTCGCAATTCTTTCAAGTTGGACGGTCGAGCAGTTGAAGCTGTTGAACCTGTTGAACGCTGTACAACTACCAATCGCTGGCGAGCGGGGAAAGTGAGGTCACTAACCCAAGGTCGAATGGCGAACACGGATCTGCGGTGTAGTGTCCGGACGTGACGTTCGAGCTCGAGATCGTAGTCATTCGGTGTGGCTACTTGCTGCGATCCTCGGGTTGGGATCGATAACTCGATTCATGTAACGTCACTACTCGAACTTGCGCGTGCTCGACCGATGTTGTGCAGGTATGGGTTGGTGCTGCAACCTATAGACAAGTTCTCATACTGAGTGGACATGAGCAATCGGATCCCGCTGGCTTCGCACCACAAACCTATCAATTTGTAGTAGCATAACGCCCTTAATACAACAAACTGAAAGACAGCAGCTGAACGCGATGGTTGATTGTTAAAAATAAAGCGTTCTGCGCAGAAAACTTGGAAGAGCTGTAAAAGATAGATATTCTGTACATGACTTCAGAATTTTAGAGGTTGGTTCATCTACAGACGAATCTTAATGTCGAAGGAAAGACAAGAACTACAAAACAAAACTCCGTGGCTTTTAGACCTCAAGCGAACTATACCGACGGAGCGACCGCCGCTTGTCGGCGAAGTACAGATGAACTTATTTCATATTTCACGTAAAAAAGCAAACAGGGTTAACACAAGGTATTCGAATGTTATCAACTAATCCACACAAACGTGTAAAACAGTTCACTTATACCGCATATACAAACATTTAAAAAGATTACGGATCTTTTTAGATATTTGATAGTTACCAGCAGACCTGAAAGTGTGTATCTTTTTAGCGCTACGTCAAATTGTGCTTCTTCATTGATTAGACTTTAAACACAAAATGGCAGACTGTTAAAAATGCTGATGCCAGCATCGTATTCACATTTCTGAACACATGAGAGGTTGGAAATTGTCTAAATAGACAGTGTTTGTTACTTGTGTTAACACTATATACAGTTGAATTAGTCTAAAAATTTCTGCTCATTTATTATGAAGTTCGTTAATGAAATTATGTATTTTCATATCTACAGTTTCTTAAACATATCACTACATAAGTTTCTAGCTGTGACACTAGGCATAATTTTAAAAATGTAAAATAAACACTTCTTTGCCCTCAGGTGAAATGCATCAAAAAATAATTCCGTACTTCATTACAAAATGAAAACAGGCAAGATAGATTGATTTGAGTGTCAATGTTGTTAACATAACATGTTTCACTTAACTGATGAACCGAGTGATCAATATGATTTTTTCAGCTTGAGTGGTTATCAGTTTGTAAACCCAGGCATTTCGAAAGCATTTACACGAAATATTTCGGTTAAACACTAGCAAGTCTGTTCACCAAGCAAGTTTAGAAATAGGTCTGCTTCGCTCTACTGTGTATGACTGTTCTTTTCACGAGAGCCTAAAAGTGCGTGACTGTAGGCTTCAGTTGGTGCACAGGACAACGGCACACACAGATCGGAATCCCGAGCTAAAGAAATTATTTGCCTTAGGAATGCTATCTCGCATTGAAGAGGACGAGGCCTACTTCAACAGATTTTCTTTCTATCTGATGAACCAATGTTTCGTGTGTATAGAACAGTCCCTATGTGAAAGACTGAAAATCCTGATGAAGTTATTGGACATGGGCGTGGTTTGACATAGGTCAGCGTATGGTGCGCTGTTATGAAGAGTATTATCGGTCCTGTCATTTTTTTAGGAATCTGTACTTACTCGAAAAAATTTCTCAACTGTCGTGAAGGATACTGCTTTTCTTCACATTCCTGCATAAATGCTTCCAATTAGACAGCGTGCCACATCATTCCTTCCATCTTGTCCTCGCCTTTCTGTACAGGTAGTTTCCTGATTGTTAGACAGGAAGAAGACGTCCAATCCCCTGACCCCTTACTTCTACAGATTTTACTCCCTTGAATTTTCTCTTCTTCAAGTTCGTAAATTTATTGTGTATGAAGAAAATGTGCAACATGTGAAAGAATTGTGTGAAAAAAGAGATGCAAAGACTTTTATCAATGAAATACTAGCCAGTGCCTGGCAAGAACCTAGATATCGCCTGGAAATAAGTCGTGCCCCTAACGGTGCCCTTACTGATATCTACAGGTACTTAGGAAATATGAAGTTTGGTGAGATGGAGGTGCAGAAATTGCAAACATATTGATTTTTTATATACTTAGTGATCAAAGCTAGATAATGTTGAAGAAAGCAGTCTTCTGGGATTTTGCACCGTGTATATTCGTGTTAACCGACGTTTCGGAGGAACGTATTGCCTCCGTCTTCAGGGTAGAAGGAAAAATATAAGAAATCCGCAAGCGAAGAGACCGTGAGAACCGGTAAAAGCCACTGGTGTTGGAAATATACACAGCTATGTGAGAGCAGAGAAGGTAGGGGGGAAGGGCAAGTATACAAGTGAAATCAGTAGTGTCGAAGGGG